GTAAGATTATTGAAAAAGCAGTGTTTCAACAATTAAACACTTTCTTAGATATGACCAGCCGCTTTGACGTGTTCCAGTCAGGTTTCCGTGCTCACCACAGTACAGAGACCGCCCTTATCAAGGTGTTTAATGACATCCGTATAAATACAGACTGCGGAAGAACCACAGTGCTGGTACTATTGGACCTCAGTGCAGCATTCGATACTGTAGATCACTCCATCCTGTTAGAGCGCCTGGAAAACTGGGTCGGCCTCTCTGGTACAGCTCTCAACTGGTTTAAATCACACCTAAAGGACAGGGACTTTTTTGTGTCAGTAGGCAACTTTACATCAGAGATGACAAAAATCACATGTGGGGTTCCCCAAGGGTCCATTCTGGGTCCCCTCCTATTCAATATCTACATGCTCCCTCTCGCTCAGTTAATAAAAAACAACAACATCAGCTACCATAACTATGCAGACGACACACAGCTTTACATCACCATGTCACCAGGTGACTATGAACCAATTCAAGCACTGAGGAAATGCTTAGAAGAAATCAATGCCTGGATGTGCCATAATTTTCTTCAACTGAATAAAAACAAAACTGAAGTAATAATAATCTTTGGACCAATAGAGGAGAGATCTAAAGTTAGCACACAGCTTCAGTCGCTTCAGCTAGTAACCACTGATCAGGCCTGAAGTCTAGGTGTAGTGCTGGATTCAGACTTGAACCTCCAAAAGCATTTAAAGACAATTACAAGGTCGGCTTTCTATCACCTGAAGAACATTTCCAGGATTAAAGGACTAATGTCTCAGCATGATCTGGAAAAACTAATCCATGCGTTTATTTTTAGTCGAATTGATTACTGCAACGGTGTTTTCACAGTGTTGGGATATATTGCCAAAATGGAGCTAAATCAGTGGGGTGAGCCATCTGAAACCATCCCCCTTGTTAGCCACCTGGAACCCATCCCCCTTCTCTTCTCCACAAGGGAGAACAAAGGATTCCCTCCAAAACAAGAAGAAAGAAGACCCGGCCCACTGTGGGAGGCGGCCACCTCAAATGGACCAATCAGCCGAATACTCCAACAGGAAGTTACACCATGTCACTCATGGCACAGACAAATCAGCCGTTACTTCCACAGGAAGTGCTCCCGTGTCACACATGGTTTAAAAACGCGGCGCGAGAAGACTTCTTCCTCTTTTTCCATGGGTTTGGAGCCCGTCAGGAGAGACCCATTTCACGTGAAATACCAGAAGAAAGCTGACTGGAAGTAGCTTTCGTTTTCCTGCGTCAAAAGTCACGGATCGCAGTGTTCCATCGTGCAAAACGGCCGCGCCGCCTGGGAAAACAGAAGCCTTTGAAGCTGACCGCGGAGTTTTCGTTTTCCCCTTCCTTGGACGAATCGGCTGAGAGGACGCTCCCTAGCCGACCACCTCCTAAGATCACCTCCTAAAATCCCTCCTTTCCAACTCGTAAGCATATCAAGCCCTCTGCTGCGGCCCCGAACTGACTGAACTTCCCGAGAGGCGGACCGGTGGCAGAGAACCTCTGCCTGACAGAAACCAAGCTGCGGTTGCCGTGGAAACGCCAACCTCCCTCGGACGACGCATCTCACAGTAAAATCTATTTACTTTCCTTTTGATGCATCAGACTTGCTGTGCTCAGGCGAGAGAAAGGCAGTTTAGGGTTTTGAATTAATGCTGATGTTCCTTTTTTTTATCTGTGCTGATTAAGGGTTTGTTTATTTGGTTAAAATAAGTGTGTGCTTCTTTACTTTCTTTCTTGGCTTTCCTGTCCTCTTCGTTGTTTCTGCTTTGAGATAGAGATAAAGTTATCACATTCAGCCACGTGGGATCCCCGTGGTCGCCGCCATCTTGATTACAGGTCGCCCCCCCTTTCCCCCCATTTCTCTTTGTTCCCCTCACCGCGTGGAGAACAAAGGGGGGTGGTTCCCCATTTAGCTACAACCATTCACACACATCGCTACATTACCAGGCAAAAAAGAGTTTTTGCTGAATGCTGCTATTGTTAATACATGTTTAATGATTTACCAATACTAAGCTGGATGTATTAATGTACGTGATCAATTGCACTATTATACCTGCTGCTAGCGGACATTAGTGAATGTATTATCTGGCATATTTTGGACAATTTCAGACGCCAGTAAACAGACTCTTATGGTTTATTTCTTTGTTTCTATCTCGTTTAATTCTTTATTTTCGATGTTTCTTTTAAACTAGTAATTTAATCTACCTCGTGTTTATTTTTCTAGTAGTGTGTAATGTTTGCTTAGATGTTAGATTTCTGTAATCCTGAATTATTAGAATAAACACATCATTGGTTAATCTGTAGTGGTTTTGGTCGTTCATATAACGGAGGGTTTATCACTCAGCGCAGATCCACCCCCTTTTGGTAATAGTGCGAATAAACAGAGATAAAAGGTTCTTTATTGATAATTTAATAGCTTTGCTGATAACTTAACCGGGGCCACCAGACTGGTGGATACCTGGATTTTAACAGCCGGTCCCGGAACCCTCCAGTTGTGGATCAACAACCGGTAAGTAGATAATTTAGGGCTATAATTATCCACCTAAGAACACTAAATTGATTTTGCCTTCGATGTTGAATAGGATAATAATTAACTATAACTCCAGTTCTAGTTAACCATCCATTCATTATCTGCAGGACATTATATTTGCACAACAACAGGTCTGCCTAAAAAGTGGATCAGACAGCTGCAGCTGATCCAGAACGCTGCTGCCCGTGTCCTCACTAAGATTAAGAAAGTAGAGCACATCACCCCAGTTCTAAAGTCCTTACACTGGCTCCCTGTATCTCAGAGAATAGACTTTAAAATACTTCTGTTAGTCTATAAATCTCTGAATGGCTTAGCACCTAAATACATCACAGACTTGCTATCAGTGTATCAACCCTCCAGACCACTCAGGTCTTCTGGCTCCAGCCTGCTCTGCCTACCTAGAACCAGAACTAAACATGGAGAAGCAGCATTTAGTTCCTATGCTCCACTTATCTGGAACAAACTTCCAGAAAACTGTAAAAGTGCGGAAAGCCTGAGTTCCTTTAAATCAAGACTAAAAACACATTTGTTTAGGATTGCCTTCGACTATTCTGGTTAAACAGTTCAACAAAAACATGTTTTCTTTAATCCAACTGTTTTTAATATTCTTTTTTTGTTTCTGCATTTTTTATTTTATTTTATTTGTTTTTTATTTTTTCCTACTTGCTTTGATTCTGTTTTATCTTCCTGTATTTTAATCATGTAAAGCACTTTGCATTGTCTTTGTACTGAATTATGCTATACAAATAAATTTGCCTTGCCTTGCCTTTCAGGGTCAGATGTTAAACCAGTGGTTCTGGTTCTACTGGTTTCAGGGTCAGATGTTAAACCAGTGGTTCTGGTTCTGCTGGTTTCAGGGTCAGATGTTAAACCAGTGGTTCTGGTTCTACTGGTTTCAGGGTCAGATGTTAAACCAGTGGTTCTGGTTCTGCTGGTTTCAGGGTCAGATGTTATAACAGTGGTTCTGGTTCTGCTGGTTTCAGGGTCAGATGTTAAACCAGTGGTTCTGGTTCTGCTGGTTTCAGGGTCAGATGTTATAACAGTGGTTCTGGTTCTGCTGGTTTCAGGGTCAGATGTTAAACCAGTGGTTCTGGTTCTACTGGTTTCAGGGTCAGATGTTAAACCAGTGGTTCTGGTTCTGCTGGTTTCAGGGTCAGATGTTAAACCAGTGGTTCTGGTTCTGCTGGTTTCAGGGTCAGATGTTATAACAGTGGTTCTGGTTCTGCTGGTTTCAGGGTCAGATGTTAAACCAGTGGTTCTGGTTCTACTGGTTTCAGGGTCAGATGTTAAACCAGTGGTTCTGGTTCTACTGGTTTCAGGGTCAGATGTTAAACCAGTGGTTCTGGTTCTGCTGGTTTCAGGGTCAGATGTTAAACCAGTGGTTCTGGTTCTGCTGGTTTCAGGGTCAGATGTTAAACCAGTGGTTCTGGTTCTGCTGGTTTCAGGGTCAGATGTTAAACCAGTGGTTCTGGCTCTGCTGGTTTCAGGGTCAGATGTTAAACCATTGGTTCTGGTTCTACTGGTTTCAGGGTCAGATGTTAAACCAGTGGTTCTGGTTCTGCTGGTTTCAGGGTCAGATGTTAAACCAGTGGTTCTGGTTCTACTGGTTTCAGGGTCAGATGTTAAACCAGTGGTTCTGGTTCTGCTGGTTTCAGGGTCAGATGTTATAACAGTGGTTCTGGTTCTGCTGGTTTCAGGGTCAGATGTTAAACCAGTGGTTCTGGTTCTACTGGTTTCAGGGTCAGATGTTAAACCAGTGGTTCTGGTTCTACTGGTTTCAGGGTCAGATGTTAAACCAGTGGTTCTGGTTCTGTTCTGCAGGAACCTAAATGCTGCTGTTTCTCGTCTGACCCGTCTGTTGGTTCTGTAATGTTGGTTCTGGAAAAATGCTGAAATCATTCCATCACATCAGCAACAACGATGAGTCTGCTGAAAATAACCAGCTCCTCAATACCACCAAAACCAAGGAGCTCATTGTAGACTTTAGGAAAGATTCAACAGCTACCCACGACACCATCCACATCAATGGAATTGCTGTTGAACGTGTCTCCAGTTTCAAGTTTCTGGTTTCTCAGCGGACATGTCCTGGTCAACTAACACCTTCTGCCTGGTCAAGAAGGCTCACCAGCGCCTCTTCTTCCTGAGGACACTGAAGAAGGATCAGCTCCTCACAAATATCCTGGTGAACTTCTATCACTGTGCAATAGAAAGCATCCTGACCAACTGTGTAACAGTGTGGTACGGAAGCTGTTCTGTTGCAGAGCACAAGGCACTGCAGCGGGTGGCGAAAGCCGCCCAGCACATCACTGGAACTCCACTACCTACCATTGAGCACATCCAGAAGAAACGCTGCCTTCATCGAGAACTCTGAACCTCAGACAGACACATTGACCTTTGACCTTCTAATGAGCCTCTGATCACTATTGATCACAGCTGATCAGCTGATTGGATAAAATACAACATCAGATTTAAACCACTGACCTTTGACCTTTAGTTGGACATCTTTCTTCATCAGGATCTTTCCCTCCTTGCTGTAGACGCTGCAGGTGAAGATTTCTCTGTCTCCATCTGTTGGGTATCTCAGAGTCAGACTGAGGTCTCCAGTTCTCAGCAGGTCTTCATTCATCTTGGTTCTGGTTCTGTAGAGCTTGTCCTGTTCTTCAGGCTGATCAGAACCTTTCTCAAACACATGGACCTTCCTGTTCCTCCTGTCCTTCCACTCCACTCTAACATCTGCAGGCAGGTTATCTCTGGTTCTGCAGGGCAGCAGGACAGACTCCACTCCTGACTCCACCTCCACCTGTGGGACTGAGAGACAACAAAGGAGCAGATGAGTTGGACAGAGAGCAGCAGCAGCAGCTCTGAGGACATTTTCTCTGACTGGAGGAAGGTCCAACATGTTGGACTGGTTCCAGTCTGAAATGTGTCCATGTCTCCAGTGAACAGAGACAGTGTTGTCCTTGCTGTGGGTCCAATCAGCAGCAGAACCCACTGTGGGACAGTGTGTCCTGGAGACCCGTTAGTTGACTGCAGGGGAAACAGGGTTCTGGTTCTGGCTCAGTGTCAGAGGACATGAGGACGTCCTTTTCAGTCCACATGAAGCTCTCTGGGTTCTCCTGAGTCCCTCAGCTTCTTCCTGTTCCTCAGAACCTTCAGAGTAGAGAAGCTTCTCTCTCTGCCAACCGGACCGGGTTCTGGAAGTGTTGATGAAGCTACTTTAACATGATGGTTCTGATCCATGATTACAGTCACACAGCAGAACTATCAGATGTTGGACCTGTCTGTTGGCAGGAGGAACCAGAAAGTTCTGGACTGATCTGGATCAGTTTAGAACTGATTGACTCTGATTTGGACCCAGATCAGCTGCTGGATCCAGGAAGGTTCTAATCAGAGGTTCTGTTGGGTTCCAGCTTCTCTGTTTGCAGGAAGAAGGAAATGTGGGAACAACGGAACCAGGAGAAGATCCAGTCTGAGATATGAGCTAGAAGACCAACAGACATCAGGTTCTGCTGCAGGTCCAGATGCTTCAAAGTTCTCAGAACCTTTTTATTCTGCTGACGTTAAAGTTTGATCCGTTTCACAGTGAAACTGGTTCTGGTTGGTCTGAGTGAAAATCAATCTGGATTTTATCCAGAACCTTCCAGAACCCAGTTAACAGGGACACCAACTGAAAGGTGAGAGGAACTGAACCATCTGGACCTCTAAGGCTCGGTTCTACTGGATCCTGGAAGGATCAGTTCTTCTGCTATCAGGAGAATTTAGGTTGAAATTCTGCAAATATGGATCAGATGTTCTGGTTCTGCTGGTTTCAGGGTCAGATGTTAAACCAGTGGTTCTGGTTCTGTTGGTTTCAGGGTCAGATGTTAAACCAGTGGTTCTGGTTCTGCTGGTTTCAGGGTCAGATGTTAAACCAGTGGTTCTGGTTCTGCTGGTTTCAGGGTCAGATGTTAAACCAGTGGTTCTGGTTCTGCTGGTTTCAGGGTCAGATGTTAAACCAGTGGTTCTGGTTCTGCTGGTTTCAGGGTCAGATGTTAAACCAGTGGTTCTGGTTCTGCTGACTTCAGGGTCAGATGTTAAACCAGTGGTTCTGGTACTGCTGGTTTCAGGGTCAGATGTTAAACCAGTGGTTCTGGTTCTGCTGGTTTCAGGGTCAGATGTTAAACCAGTGGTTCTGGTTCTGCTGGTTTCAGGGTCAGATGTTAAACCATTGGTTCTGGTTCTACTGGTTTCAGGGTCAGATGTTAAACCAGTGGTTCTGGTTTCAGGTCAGATGTTAACCAGTGGTTCTGGTTCTGCTGGTTTCAGGGTCTGATGTTAAACCATTGGTTCTGGTTCTGCTGGTTTCAGGGTCAGATGTTAAACCATTGGTTCTGGTTCTGCTGGTTTCAGGGTCAGATGTTAAACCATTGGTTCTGGTTCTGCTGGTTTCAGGGTCAGATGTTAAACCAGTGGTTCTGGTTCTGTTCTGCAGGAACCTAAATGCTGCTGTTTCTCTTCTGACCCGTCTGTTGGTTCTGGTCCAGCTGCTCCTTCCTCCATGGATCAGATGAGTGTTTGTCAGGAGAAGTGATGAAAACCTGGAGCTGGAAACTGGTCCCTGTCTGGACCGGACCTCTGCCTCCTGCTCTGGTTCCTCATCTTCACTCATTCTAATGTTGGTTCTGGAAAAATGCTGAACTCATTCCATCACATTTACTGGGACTCTGAACCTCAGACAGACACATTGACCTTTGACCTTCTAATGAGCCTCTGATCACTATTGATCACAACTGATCAGCTGATTGGAGAAAATACAACATCAGAGTTAAACCACTGACCTTTGACCTTTAGTTGGACATCTTTCTTCATCAGGATGTTTCCCTCCTTGCTGTAGACGCTGCAGGTGAAGGTCCCTCTGTCTTCATCTGTTGGGTATCTCAGAGTCAGACTGAGGTCTCCAGTTCTCAGCAGGTCTTCATTCATCTTGGTTCTGAAGAGCTGGTTCTGTTCTTCAGGCTGATCAAAACCGTTCTCAAACACATGGACCTTCCTGTAAAACCAGTCCATCCACTCCACTCTAGCATCTCCAGGCAGGTTATCTCTGGTTCTGCAGGGCAGCAGGACAGACTCCTCTCCTGACTCCACCTCCACCTGTGGGACTGAGAGACAACAAAGTAGCAGATGAGTTGGACAGACAGCAGCAGCAGCTCTGAGGACATTTTCTCTGACTGGATGAAGGTCCAACATGTTGGACTGGTTCCAGTCTGAAATGTGTCCATGTCTCCAGTGAACAGAGACAGTGTTGTCTTTGCTGTGGGTCCAATCAGCAGCAGAACCCACTGTGGGACAGTGTGTCCTGGAGACCCGTTAGTTGACTGCAGGGGAAACAGGGTTCTGGTTCTGGCTCAGTGTCAGAGGACATGAGGACGTCCTTTTCAGTCCACATGAAGCTCTCTGGGTTCTCCTGAGTCCCTCAGCTTCTTCCTGTTCCTCAGAACCTTCAGAGTAGAGAAGCTTCTCTCTCTGCCAACCGGACCGGGTTCTGGAAGTGTTGATGAAGCTACTTTAACATGATGGTTCTGATCCATGATTACAGTCACACAGCAGAACTATCAGATGTTGGACCTGTCTGTTGGCAGGAGGAACCAGAAAGTTCTGGACTGATCTGGATCAGTTTAAAACTGATTGACTCTGATTTGGACCCAGATCAGCTGATGGATCCAGGAAGATTCTAATCAGAGGTTCTGTTGGGTTCCAGCTTCTCTGTTTGCAGGAAGAAGGAAATGTGGGAACGACGGAACCAGGAGAAGATCCAGTCTGAGATATGAGCTAGAAGACCAACAGACATCAGGTTCTGCTGCAGGTCCAGATGCTTCAAAGTTCTCAGAACCTTTTTATTCTGCTGACAACTTTTATGAAGCTGTGCAGAGATCCAGAACCTTCCAGAACCCAGCTGACAGGAACACTAACTGAAAGGTGAGAGAAACTGAACCATCTGGACCTCTAAGGCTCGGTTCTACTGGATCCTGGAAGGATCAGTTATTCTGCTATCAGGAGAATTTAGGTAGAAATTCTGCAAATATGGATCAGATGTTCTGGTTCTGCTGGTTTCTGGGTCAGATGTTAAACCATTGGTTCTGGTTCTACTGGTTTCTGGGTCAGATGTTAAACCAGTGGTTCTGGTTCTACTGGTTTCAGGGTCAGATGTTAAACCAGTGGTTCTGGTTCTGTTCTGCAGGAACCTAAATGCTGCTGTTTCTCTTCTGACCCGTCTGTTGGTTCTGGTCCAGCTGCTCCTTCATCCATGGATCAGATGAGTGTTTGTCAGGAGAAGTGATGAAAACCTGGAGCTGGAAACTGGTCCCTGTCTGGACCGGACCTCTGCCTCCTGCTCTGGTTCCTCATCTTCACTCATTCTAATGTTGGTTCTGGAAAAATGCTGAACTCATTCCATCACATTTACTGGGACTCTGACCCTCAGACAGACACATTGACCTTTGACCTTCTAATTAGCCTCTGATCACTATTGATCACAACTGATCAGCTGATTGGAGAAAATACAACATCAGAGTTAAACCACTGACCTTTGACCTTTAGTTGGACATCTTTCTTCATCAGGATGTTTCCCTCCTTGCTGTAGACTCTGCAGGTGAAGATTTCTCTGTCTCTCTCTGTTGGGTATCTCAGAGTCAGACTGAGGTCTCCAGTTCTCAGCAGGTCTTCATTCATCTTGGTTCTGGTTCTGAAGAGCTGGTCCTGTTCTTCAGGCTGATCAGAACCTTTCTCAAACACATGGACCTTCCTGTCCCTCCTGTCCATCCACTCCACTCTAGCATCTCCAGGCAGGTAATCACTGGTTCTGCAGGGCAGCAGGACAGACTCCTCTCCTGACTCCCCCTCCACCTGTGGGACTGAGAGACAACAAAGGAGCAGATGAGTTGGACAGACAGCAGCAGCAGCTCTGAGGACATTTTCTCTGACTGGATGAAGGTCCAACATGTTGGACTGGTTCCAGTCTGAAATGTGTCCATGTCTCCAGTGAACAGAGACAGTGTTGTCTTTGCTGTGGGTCCAATCAGCAGCAGAACCCACTGTGGGACAGTGTGTCCTGGAGACCCGTTAGTTGACTGCAGGGGAAACAGGGTTCTGGTTCTGGCTCAGTGTCAGAGGACATGAGGACGTCCTTTTCAGTCCACATGAAGCTCTCTGGGTTCTCCTGAGTCCCTCAGCTTCTTCCTGTTCCTCAGAACCTTCAGAGTAGAGAAGCTTCTCTCTCTGCCAACCGGACCGGGTTCTGGAAGTGTTGATGAAGCTACTTTAACATGATGGTTCTGATCCATGATTACAGTCACACAGCAGAACAATCAGATGTTGGACCTGTCTGTTGGCAGGAGGAACCAGAAAGTTCTGGACTGATGTGGATCAGTTTAGAACTGATTGACTCTGATTTGGACCCAGATCAGCTGCTGGATCCAGGAAGGTTCTAATCAGAGGTTCTGTTGGGTTCCAGCTTCTCTGTTTGCAGGAAGAAGGAAATGTGGGAACGACGGAACCAGGAGAAGATCCAGTCTGAGATATGAGCTAGAAGACCAACAGACATCAGGTTCTGCTGCAGGTCCAGATGCTTCAAAGTTCTCAGAACCTTTTTATTCTGCTGACGTTAAAGTTTGATCCGTTTCACAGTGAAACTGGTTCTGGTTGGTCTGAGTGAAAATCAATCTGGGTTTTTATCCAGAACCTTCCAGAACCCAGTTAACAGGGACACTAACTGAAAGGTGAGAGGAACTGAACCATCTGGACCTCTAAGGCTCGGTTCTACTGGATCCTGGAAGGATCAGTTCTTCTGCTATCAGGAGGATTTAGGTTGAAATTCTGCAAATATGGATCAGATGTTCTGGTTCTGCTGGTTTTAGGGTCAGATGTTAAACCAGTGGTTCTGGTTCTGCTGGTTTCAGGGTCAGATGTTAAACCAGTGGTTCTGGTTCTGCTGGTTTCAGGGTCAGATGTTAAACCAGTGGTTCTGGTTCGGCTGGTTTCAGGGTTAGATGTTAAACCAGTGGTTCTGGTTCTGTTCTGCAGGAACCTAAATGCTGCTGTTTCTCTTCTGACCCGTCTGTTGGTTCTGGAAAAATGCTGAACTCATTCCATCACATTTACTGGGACTCTGAGGCCCCGTCCACACGAAGTCAAAACGAACACGAAACGCTAATATTTTCCAGAACGTTTGTCGTAAAGACGGAGACATAAAATAAATGTGATCGTCCACACGAATGCATGAAAACGCTGCAAAATGTATGCCAGGCCTGTAAGTGGCGCTGTGGTGCCAAAGCAAAAATAGGCGACGAAATGTTGGGCATGCGCACTAATATTTATACATGGTTGCCCTGCGGGTCCATTTTCGTGGTTTAGTCAAATTCAGGTGCTGAACTATGTCGTCGATATTGCTCTGTCCTTCCTGGAGATATTCCAGAAGAAGAAGATTCTGTTGTACGCCCGACAGCAGGGTGAGTAGCATGAGCAGCAACCATTCAACACAGTACGGCGCCATTGTTGTTGTGATACTGTGTTGCGCATGCGTGTTTAGAGGCGACGCTATGACGCATGCGTGTAAAAAAAAAATGCGGTTAGAGCGTAAAGATGGAAACGCGAAAACGGCGTTTCAAAATCTTCTCACTCTGAAGGCTGAATAAAAAAAAGATCGTTTACAGACCCCCGAAACGCCGGCTTCGTGTGGATGAGAGGCTGGTTTGGTGAAAAATGTGTGCGTTTAGCCCAGGGTTCGTCTTCGTGTGGACGGGGCCTGAACCTCAGACAGACACATTGACCTTTGACCTTCTAATTAGCCTCTGATCACTATTGATCACAGCTGATCAGCTGATTGGAGAAAATACAACATCAGAGTTAAACCACTGACCTTTGACCTTTAGTTGGACATCTTTCTTCATCAGGATGTTTCCCTCCTTGCTGTAGACTCTGCAGGTGACGGTCCCTCTGTCTCCATCTGTTGGGTATCTCAGAGTCAGACTGAGGTCTCCAGTTCTCAGCAGGTCTTCATTCATCTTGGTTCTGGTTCTGAAGAGCTTGTCCTGTTCTTCAGGCTGATCAGAACCGTTCTCAAACACATGGACCTTCCTGTCCATCCTGTCCATCCACTCCACTCTAGCATCTCCAGGCAGGTTATCTCTGGTTCTGCAAGGCAGCAGGACAGACTCCACTCCTGACTCCCCCTCCACCTGTGGGACTGAGAGACAACAAAGGAGCAGATGAGTTGGACAGACAGCAGCAGCAGCTCTGAGGACATATTCTCTGACTGGATGAAGGTCCAACATGTTGGACTGGTTCCAGTCTGAAATGTGTCCATGTCTCCAGTGAACAGAGACAGTGTTGTCTTTGCTGTGGGTCCAATCAGCAGCAGAACCCACTGTGGGACAGTGTGTCCTGGAGACCCGTTAGTTGACTGCAGGGGAAACAGGGTTCTGGTTCTGGCTCAGTGTCAGAGGACATGAGGACGTCCTTTTCAGTCCACATGAAGCTCTCTGGGTTCTCCTGGGTCCCTCAGCTTCTTCCTGTTCCTCAGAACCTTCAGAGTAGAGAAGCTTCTCTCTCTGCCAACCGGACCGGGTTCTGGAAGTGTTGATGAAGCTACTTTAACATGATGGTTCTGATCCATGATTACAGTCACACAGCAGAACTATCAGATGTTGGACCTGTCTGTTGGCAGGAGGAACCAGAAAGTTCTGGACTGATCTGGATCAGTTTAGAACTGATTGACTCTGATTTGGACCCAGATCAGCTGCTGGATCCAGGAAGGTTCTAATCAGAGGTTCTGTTGGGTTCCAGCTTCTCTGTTTGCAGGAAGAAGGAAATGTGGGAACGACGGAACCAGGAGAAGATCCAGTCTGAGATATGAGCTAGAAGACCAACAGACATCAGGTTCTGCTGCAGGTCCAGATGCTTCAAAGTTCTCAGAACCTTTTTATTCTGCTGACGTTAAAGTTTGATCCGTTTCACAGTGAAACTGGTTCTGGTTGGTCTGAGTGAAAATCAATCTGGGTTTTTATCCAGAACCTTCCAGAACCCGGTTACCAGGGACACTGACTGAAAGGTGAGAGGAACTGAACCATCTGGACCTCTAAGGCTCGGTTCTACTGGATCCTGGAAGGATCAGTTCTTCTGCTATCAGGAGAATTTAGGTTGAAATTCTGCAAATATGGATCAGATGTTCTGGTTCTGCTGGTTTCAGGGTCAGATGTTAAACCAGTGGTTCTGGTTCTGTTGGTTTCAGGGTCAGATGGTAATCCAGTGGTTCTGGTTCTGCTGGTTTCAGGGTCAGATATTAAACCAGTGGTTCTGGTTCTGCTGGTTTCAGGGTCAGATGTTAAACCAGTGGTTCTGGTTCTGCTGGTTTCAGGGTCAGATGTTAAACCAGTGGTTCTGGTTCTGCTGGTTTCAGGGTCAGATGTTAAACCAGTGGTTCTGGTTCTGTTGGTTTCAGGGTCAGATGGTAATCCAGTGGTTCTGGTTCTGCTGGTTTCAGGGTCAGATATTAAACCAGTGGTTCTGGTTCTGCTGGTTTCAGGGTCAGATGTCAAACCAGTGGTTCTGGTTCTACTGGTTTCAGGGTCAGATATTAAACCAGTGGTTCTGGTTCTGCTGGTTTCAGGGTCAGATGTCAAACCAGTGGTTCTGGTTCTGTTGGTTTCAGGGTCAGATGGTAATCCAGTGGTTCTGGTTCTACTGGTTTCAGGGTCAGATGTCAAACCAGTGGTTCTGGTTCTACTGGTTTCAGGGTCAGATGTCAAACCAGTGGTTCTGGTTCTGCTGGTTTCAGGGTCAGATGTCAAACCAGTGGTTCTGGTTCTGCTGGTTTCAGGGTCAGATATTAAACCAGTGGTTCTGGTTCTGCTGGTTTCAGGGTCAGATGTCAAACCAGTGGTTCTGGTTCTGTTGGTTTCAGGGTCAGATGGTAATCCAGTGGTTCTGGTTCTACTGGTTTCAGGGTCAGATGTTAAACCAGTGGTTCTGGTTCTGCTGGTTTCAGGGTCAGATGTTAAACCAGTGGTTCTGGTTCTGCTGGTTTCAGGGTCAGATGTCAAACCAGTGGTTCTGGTTCTGCTGGTTTCAGGGTCAGATGTTAAACCAGTGGTTCTGGTTCTGTTTTGCAGGAACCTAAATGCTGCTGTTTCTCTTCTGACCCGTCTGTTGGTTCTGGTCCAGTTGCTCCTTCATCCGTTGATCAGATGAGTGTTTGTCAGGAGAAGTGATGAAAACCTGGAGCTGGAAACTGGTCCCTGTCTGGACCGGACCTCTGCCTCCTGCTCTGGTTCCTCATCTTCACTCATTCTAATGTTGGTTCTGGAAAAATGCTGAACTCATTCCATCACATTTACTGGGACTCTGAACCTCAGACAGACACATTGACCTTTGACCTTCTAATGAGCCTCTGATCACTATTGATCACAACTGATCAGCTGATTGGAGAAAATACAACAACATCAGATTTAAACCACTGACCTTTGACCTTTAGACGAACTTCTTTCTCCATCAGGATGTTTCCCTCATTGCTCAAGACGCTGCAGGTGAAGATGATACTGTCTTCATCTGTTGGGTCTCTCAGAGTCAGACTGAGGTCTCCAGTTCTCAGTGGGTATTTATTCATCTTGGTTCTGGTTCTGTAGAACTGGTTCTGTTCTCCAGGCTGATCAGAACCGTTCTCAAACACATGGACCTTCCTCTCCATCTTGTCCCTCCACTCCACTCTAGCATCTCCAGGCAGTAGTGGTCTGGTTCTCCAGGGCAGCAGGACAGTCTTCTCCCCTGACTTCACCACCACCAGTAATTCTGAGGACAACAAAGGAGCAGATGAGTTGGACAGACAGCAGCAGCAGCTCTGATGGTCTCTGAATGTCTCCTCCTGGTCTCTGTGTCTCATGTCAGGATCTCAGACTGTAGAAGGTCCAGCAGCTTGTTTGAGGACGTGGACCAACCAGGTGACCTGAGCTCAGCTGACGTCTGTCTCCTATCTGACAGAAACCAGTTTAAACCAGTTTCTGATGAAGACCTGTTTTCTTCATCAGTACATTTGGAGCAGCTACCAAAGGAGGAGTCAGAACCTCCTGAGGAAGCAATCAGATGGATGGATGTGGGAGAAGATGGTGGATCAGATGATGATCAGAGAGCTGAGGACTTGATGGACCATGATGGAAGCATCAGGCCACAGATATCTCTCCATCTCCACTCTGAGCTTCTGATGAAGAACTGGGAAGCAGCTGTTGACTGACAGCAAACTGAGCAGCTCTGCTTCATCCTCAGTCACTGACTCTTTAGTTTCTGCTTCTGTTTGTCCTCCAGCAGACAAAGAGACATGAAGCTGCTGAGATCTGAGCCACCAGAAGGTTCCCCAGAGACACAGAGAGGAGCTTCTAGAGTCCTGCTCTGGATCCTCATGGAGAAGGTAGAGGCCAGGACAGGAGATCAGTCAGAGACCATCGGCATTATGGGTAATGGAGTTTTAGAGACTCACCTTTAATGAAGCTGTGCCTATAATAATATAAAAGACCTGCACAGAGAATCAGAACCAGAACCAGGAGAGCTATGACCCAGGATGGAAATGGTTCTGTGGAGACAAAAGAAGAACATCATGACCTCTGACCTGGATCTACAGCAGATGTTTATGTTCCTGACTTTAACCAGCAGCTCTCAGTTCTTCTCCTCTAAAGGTTCTGATGGTCCAGATGGAGCTATAGAGAACAGCTTTATCAAGGTTCTCCTCCACAGTCCTCTCTGCTAGAACCTGGTGACCAACAGGAGGAGCAGCTGGAAGCTAGAAGGAGCTGCTTGGTGATGAGAGCTGGAAGCTCCTGGTGGGCTGTGTTTACTGGGACAGCTCCACCACAGTCCTCTAGAGGGACGAGATTAAACTA